AGAACTCTCGGGGCTCTCTCGTTCCGAGGTTCCCTGGGAGCTGCTCTGTGAGGAGCACCTTCTCACCCGGGCGGTCCAGTCCTCCCGGAGGTCCGAGAGGGCGCAGGGCAGCGCATCGGCCAGCGGGTCGGGCGGCCCGCACTCGTCGGCGTGGCCGTTGATGGCCTTGCGCTGGAGCGAGATCTGCACGGACGAGCTGCGGGTGGGCCTGGGGTCCAGGCTGGTCAGCAGCTGCGGGATGAACATGGACGTGCTCCGCTTGAGCGCGCCCTCGGCCGTGGGCTGTGCGCACCGGTGCGGGCTGCTCCCCCGCGGCAGCGTGTGGAATGCCATGACCAAGTCCTCGGGCGGCTCCCGCTCGAGGATCTCCGACTCGGGGGCCGTGTTGCTCCGGCCCGAGCCAAAATGAAACCGAAGCCGATGGGCCATGGCGAACAGGGGGGCTGGGAGGGAGAGGGGGAGCGGCCACCGCAGTCCCGGCACTGCCAGAAGTCAAACCCCAAAGACATCAACTCCAGGAAAAAGTGTCCCATCTGCCAAACCGTTAGCACTGCGGCGCCGGGGGAGCGACAGATAGCAGATAACCCAAGTGGCCAGCGGCATTCCAGGCACGATTGGATAAGAGCAGAAACCTCACGTCCGCATGGGGACAGAGGGTAGGGTGGCTAGGACCACATGACTGAGCGCTCGCCCTCCAATGCCAGCCTGTGGGCTTAGCTGAGCTGCCCCCCTCTCCCGCTCAGTATTTTTTTTTTATATAAAAAAAACAGCAAGAGCCTGAAACGGCACCTTCTCAGCTGCTGCTTTTCCATCAGCCAGGCGAGCTCCAGCAGGGAGTTCTCACAGCTGACCAGGGCAGCAAACGCTGTGAGCAGCGCTGCTATAAATCTCAAGCACATCGCATGCCTGGGCCCTGTCTTGCTCCACCACGCTAGGCACTCACACTCTCTCCCAAGCACGTGAGGGCGTTCAAGACAGCAGCACCCGCAGGCGTGGGCTCCGAACTCCTGCCACCTTGCCCACCTCACAGAGAATGACAGACAAGTCACCCAGCTTGGTGACAGGACATCCCAGTTCGGATGTTATGTCTCTCCGTTATTTATGACATCACCACACTCTCCCCACGGAATGCAAACTCATAAAACGTACTATAAATACAATTACACACCCTGCAGAAGCTGTGTCCCTTGAATGCGGAATAATTAGACCATGATCTACAAGGCACAAAATAGGTCAGTGGATGAGGAGAGAGGCACAAACAACCACATGGTCAAGTTCACATTCCACCGCCTGCTACAGCTCTGACACTTTGCATTTAAAAGATGAGTGCATTTGTGTCAGTGTGGAGTCTCACATATAACGAGGTTGCCAGACGTAGACATACCCGAGAAAAGAAACTCAGCCGGGGAAACAACCACCCCATATGTGCCAGGTAGGAGAAAAAGGAACGGCAACAGAAGAGGAATTGAAGCAAAGCTGCGCCTGTAAGTTTTGAAGGACTTTAATGTAAATCTCATACCCAAGAAATGACGCCTGGTACTGACCATTTCTCCATAAGATTTTAGCAATAATATTCCAGTTAAGACCCACGCATGGGATCTTACTATTTCTGCAAAGGACCAAAACAGACTTAGGAAAGAAAAGAAAAAAGTGCATGCTCAAAAAACTGTCATCGACTTTGAAGTTCACTTGAAAATATGCTCTGTGTTTTAAACTATTTTCCATGATCCAGAGACACCAGTTATTTAACAATGAGGTTTACTTGGGAAGGCAGAAAGAGAAGGAAGGAAAATTCCATGCTTGCAGAAGGTGGCAAAAAGTTTATTTTACAATCCACAAAGCAGGACTTTGTCAACAGTTCTGAAGTCTAGGGTGTGGGGGATTAACCCTGTGTTTATATAGGCCCAAACCTGCTTTCTCAAGTTGTGTGTTTCCACTGCCAAAAAACGACCTTTAGGAGGGAAAAGGAAGCTAGTTTGTTTAAGGCTAGAACTGCCGAGTACCAGTACATTCAAATACTGTCTTAACTGGATGAAGAGTGAACAAAGAAAACGCCACCAGCATCACTTCTCAGCAACAACCACACTGCAGATGGCTGAGGGCAAAGCTGGGAGCATCAGACACGTTTGCCTTCACTTAAAGTTCTTACAGCTCGTCACCCAATGTGTGGAAGTCTAGACCAGGATTGACAGCAAAGTGTCAGCAACAGTTGTTATTTAGGTGACAGATGTGGGGAAACATCTTTAGAGAGAAAGTGTATAATGAACCTCTCTTCAGAAGAGAAAATGAATCCATTATTAAGACATCTTGAAAGATCAAATGTGAAAAACAATGTATACGAACTTTGTAAGTAAGACAGTATAAAATAAAAATTTTATTTAAAAATAAACAATACAAAGCATCTTGCGGGGGGGGGGGCAATTTATCCCAGATTTTAGTATTTATCTTAAGAGGAGCTACTGTATTCAACACACCAAATCACAACCTTGATTCTAAGTGTGGGATGCATCTGTGTCCCTGCAAAAATTCAGTTATGCTACACTCTCTAAGTCACTTGTTAAACATATCGATTGTTTTGATAATTCATTCTGCTAAGATTAGGAGCAGACTAGTTGTAAGAAGTGTCAAGTCAACATTCTTGCCCTGCTGTAGAAGAGAATGATTTCTGACCTCAACAGCGCCTCCTCTGGTCAGTTCCCTGGCTCTTCCCTTGGTGGTTCTCCAGAAGGTCTTCCAGACACTCAGAAAGATCAGAGGAATGACTCACGTGACTGTAGGTATGCCAGGTGCAAGAGGAGTACTACAATCAACGTCCTGCCTGAACCGCTCATTCAATACAACGAGAAAGCAATTTCCCATTCCCATGTGTGTAAGAGATCCTACCCAAGGAACTAAAGGTCGCTTAAGGCAAAGTCACCAAGGATGCACGCGTTCTAAATGAAGAGATGTCTGCTCTTTGGTCGCGGCCGCAAAAGCGAGATGACGAAGGGAACGTCATCGTTTGGAAAACGTAGAAGTAAAACACACATGTTGTACCGCCGCTGTGGCTCCAAGGCCCAGCACCTCCAGAAGTCCACCTGTGGCAGGTGTGGCCACCGTGCCAGGCACAAGAGAAAGTATAACTGGAGTGCCAAGGCTAAAAGGCAAAATACCACCGGTGCTGGTCATACGAGGCACCTAGAGATCGTTGACTGCAGAGTTAGGCATGGATTCTGTGAATCAGGAACAACACCGAAACCCAAGCGGGCAGCTGTTACAGCACCCAGTTCATCTTAAGAATCCCTCTGTTTAATTCTGCAGTAAATGTTCTGGTATTATGAAGAAGAAGAAAAAAAGAAGAGATGCCTCAATGGCATGCCAGGATTTGCTGGATTTCTGACTTGATGATCTCTCTGATCTATTTGATGATCAGGTAAACAAGATGCAATGCCCTGGCAGGGTCTCAATGAAAGGTGAAGGGCGGGGTGATGCATGACCATTGGGCTGGGAAACAGGAGATGGCAGGGCTGGCCGCTGAGCTTCCACTGACTATGTGTTCAGACTCTTGGAAGTTCTAGACCTTCATTCCACATCCGCAAGCATAGCAAGGGAGTGAGTCATCCTATAAGGGGCCTGCAGACTGAATAGCCTATCAAACCCAACTATTACAAAATTGGAAGCTGCCACTGAATTCTGGTGAAAGGAGGGGCCACAAGAACACTCCTTTAACCAAACAGCACAGCTGAATTTCAGGGAAGGTAATTTGAATTAACTGAAGGGAGTTATTATACTCCTATGGAGAGTAACTTAAAGGCTTCAAATAACATGATCTGGTTCATTTTCATAATCAAAATACATGGCTCAGGGGGACCTGATGTATACCTTCAATGTAATTAAGAAAACTAAAATGCCTTAAGCTGAATTGCTTTTGAAATTCTAAAAGGAAATGTTAGTCACATGCCTATACATGAGGATGACAGAAGAACTGATGCATTTGAGTTGCGGTGTTGGAAAATGGTGCTGAATAGACCGCCAACAGAATAAACAGGTGTGTCCTGGAGAAAGTGCAATCAGAACGCTCCTTGGAGGCAAAGATGGTGAAGCTTTGTCTCATAAATTGTGGACATGTTGTTAGGAGAAGCTATTCCTTACGAAGGGACATCATGCTTGGAAAGGTAGAGGGTCAGTGAAGGAAAGGAAGACCGTCAACAAGATGGACCAATACAGTGACTGTGGCAATGGACTCAAACGTATTGAGGATGACAAAGAAAGAGACAGAGCCTTGCCAGAACTTATTATTCACAGGGTCGCTGTTAGTGACACTTGAATTGAAAGCACTTAAGAACACATTTAAGTATATACATATACACATGATACTCACTTTACTGATTGTATTCTATTTGTGCATGTATATATTTACATATCCATACACACACAGATGCAGTAAGGAACTTCCTGAATACCAATTAACTAACTCAGCCTTATCTTTGGCTCTTTAAAAGTACTGTATAAGAACTTACTTTGAGAAAGCGCATTTTTGAAAACACAGCTTACTTTTATCTGCTAAATACAGAATCCCTTCTTGCAATATACTGTTAAATTGGATTTTCATTTCCATGAAGGAGACTGCCATAGATTCTCTATTGAATGAGGGACGGCGATACACAGCCTGGCTTCCATCTCAAAGACTGCATGGTCGTTTGCTGATGTGTAACGATGACCTCTTTGTGGATTAGTCTCCTGTTCTGTATTGCCAACATCAGAGCAGAAGCAAAAGGTCTGATACTATCACTGATGGCTTTCACTAATATTTACTGGGAGAACATACACACAGAGAGACATGCTTTCTGTCATAATGACACTAAAATGCTTATTAGAAGTAAGAACTTTAACAGTGGGACAGAAATCTTCTCTTTGCGAGTATGCACTGTCAGGATGTCCAACAAATAAGAGTTTGAACGTTTATGCTCTAAAAAGGCAATTTACACACATTTTGCAGGAATCAATAAAGGTCCACTTACCAGTCTGTTTTCGTCAAATACTTCAAAAAGGAGCCTGTGGTTTGAAGGATTTACCTGGAAAAGAGAAAGACAAGATAGTAAAATGAACAGAAACAAAAAAAGGCAGAAAAGCAGAACAAAGTTTTAGAAAGCACACAATACAACATATTAGACACTTACTAAAAGAATCATCAACCTACTCTTCTGAAAATCTATGTTAAGTAAACCAAGGTTTTCACCATTCATTTCCACACTGAGCATCTATGGACCAAGAGAACAAACGGGCCTGTCTTGGAGACTGTGCAACCAGGGTGCACCTTAGAGGCAGGGATGGTGAAACATCATCTGATACACTTTGAGCATGTTGTCAGGAGGGGTTAATCCTTGGAGGAGGACACCATGCTGGGAAAGGTGGAGGCTCAGCATCAGAGAGGAAGAGCTTCAACAAGATGGACTGACACAGTGACTCTGAGAACGGCCTCACGCATGCGGGAGTTGGTGAGGACGGGACAGGAAAAGGGCCAGGTTCAGATCTGTTGTTTATAGGGTTGCTATGAGTCACAGTTGACTATCTAGCATGTAACAACAGCTATCCTTAATATTTCATTATATCAGAAGAAAAGACTCTGGTTGGGTCTCTGATATACTAACAACAACAAACCAAACACAAACCAAACCAAAACCTAAAAGGTAACGGGGTAGGTGTGCTGGAGTCAGTGAGACTGGCTCAGGACAGGGCAGGCTTCAGAGCTGCTATATAGGTTGCTAAGAGTGGCAGCCAATTGGCAGCATCAGGATGGATGGTGAAGAGATTGAGATTGTACACAGCTTTAGTTTGCTTGGCTCCATAGTCAACAGTCTTGGCACCAGCAGCCAGGAAATTAAAAGGCGCATTGCAATGGGAAAGTCTGCTGTTAGGGACATCTCCAAAGTGCTGAAGAGCAATGGTGTCTCTCTGGAGACTAAGGTGCGTCTGATACAGGCCATGGTCTTCACAATCACTTGTTATGCATCAGAGAGTTGGACAATGACCAAGGAGGACAGAAGGAGAATTGATGCCTTTGAGCTGTGGTGCTAGAGAAGAGTATTGAGAATACCATGGACTGCTAGGAAAACAAAGAGATTTGTCCTGGAAAGGGTTAAACTGGGTGGCTCCTGGGAGGCAAGGATTCTGAGGCTCCGTCTAACATACTTTGGACATGTTGTAAGGAGAGACAGGTCCTTGGAGAGGGACATCATGCTTGGGAGGGTGGAGGGACAGCGCAGGAGGGGAAGGCCCTCTATGAGGTGGATTGATTCAGTGACTGGGATAATTGGGATGGGAGTGTCAGAGACAGTGCGATTGGCACAGGACAGAGCGGAGTTTAGGGCTGTTGTACATAGGGTCACTATGAGTCGCAAGCGACTCGATGGCATATAACAACAACAAGAGTGGCAGGCGACTTGATGGCCCATAACAAAAACAATAACAACAATCTAAAAGTCATTGCTCACGAGTGAAAATCAACTCACAGTTGAGTCTCCGTTGGTTTTCGGAGGCTCTAATGTGCTCAAGAAGAGTTGCCCATCTTCCTCCTGAGAAGCCAACCATCACAGCGGAGGCTTAGTGGATTCCAACCACCTCAGAGATGCTGCCTGTGTCTTGGTGAAGAAACTTCCTATACCACCAGAATTCTCTTTTCTGACTAAACAGTTTCTAAATCCCTACAAAAAGGCACCCCAACTCCAGGAGAACAAGCTACATCCTCACAGAACTGTCATTTTAGATGCTGTCAAATTCCCTTTTGACACATAGTGATCCCATGTGACAGAGTAGAGCTGTTTTATAGAATTTTCTAGAAGCAGATTTCCAGATCATTCTTCTGCAAAGTTGCGAGGTGGATCTACAGTGTTAACCGTTTGGTTAGTGACAGAGCACCTTACCATGCCACTGCGGTGCTTCTTCACAAAGTTATTGCCTGAAGAAATAGTCTCAGTTCTACTGAGATTAAAGAGAAGAATGATAAAAAAAAAAGGACAGTAATAGTAGCAACAGCCACAAGAATGTTCTACTAGTTTCTAGCATCTTGTTAATACCCATCAAGTCATGTAGTTCTCACAGCAACGCTGTGGTTAATAACATCAACCTGAATTTTGACATGAAGAGCTACAACAAGGAGATTAACTTGGTCAAAATCCCACAGCTCATCTGCAGGACTACCAGGACACAGGGAGAACAAATTTAGTCCCACTAGAGACATAAAGAAATAAAAGACTACGAGCAGAAGAAAAGACTGTCAGAACGACCAGAGTTCTTCTCTTATGAAAAACTCACAAAATGGTCTTCACCATCATTTGGACTCAAGTATCGTTTAGTAAGGTAGCTATGGTGGCTTATTGCTAAGGAGTTGAGCTACCAATCTAAAGTCACTTAGTTCGAATCCACCAGCTGCTCCACAGGAGAAAGATGGGAAATCTCCTCCTGTGTGATTTACCATCTTTGAAATCCACTGGAGGGTCAGCTGTGAGCCACTTCCAACTTGATCGTACACAACAACAGTCGTTTAATAAGTACCAACCACATACGCAACACGATGCTAGCTGTTCTCATTTCTATCATCCTAACAAAGGTGTGTTTTCTGTTTTGGTTGAGGCTTGAGTGTCGTCTGTTGCTCGCAACTGGGTGTGAGCTGGTTGGATTTAACCTCGTATTGAAAAAGGCATTTGGTCACCAGTTTGGGGCTACTTTCCAGTTCAGGAAGATGAGTGGAGCAGCTAGATTATATAAAGGTGCATTTTCTGTTTTGTGAGTGTGGACTGCTGCTTGCAATTGGGTGTGAGCTGATTGGATTTGGCCTTGTATTTAAAAAGGCATCTGGTTTTAATTGTTTTTAGTAAAACATTCTTCTAAATAGTATAGCACTGGTCTGTCAATTTGCTGCACAGAGGCAACTTGTGGTTGCTGTGATGGTAAAAACTGTGACAGTGATGTGTGAAATGCGTTAATGCTGGACAGTGTTTGGTGGAACACCCAGATTCAAACAGGCTTAGAAGCAGGAGTGGCATCCACTTCCAAAATAGCTTGCCTCCAGAAACTCTATGAATGAAATGATGAAAGTTATACAAGTGTTCAGGTCTTTGATTCATAGGGTTGCTATGGGTTGTCTACTACACAATAACACTTAACAACAACAACAACGGAACAATTGAGGAACTGGAGATTGGAGTTCATCCAGAGGCTCCCTGAAAGCAAGGCGTGGTGACCTACTTCTCAGAAAATGAGCCACTGACAAGCCCATGGAGCACAGAGCTACTCTGACATGCATGGGGTTGTCATGACTTGGGTTAACTTAAGGGCAAGTGGTAAATTCTAGAAGCAAAGTTCCCTCAGCTCCGTGAGAGACAAGGAAGCCAGTGAGAATGGGAGTCCTCATGTGGCTTTTTTAGGTCACAGTGTTACAGAGTCAGAGATGTAACCCAGGTCTCGGGGGTCTTCTGTCTTCTGTCACTGCTTCATTGTAGGCAAGAGAAAGGTATCACATTTGATGGCCACAGCACAAAGAAAAGTACTTTTGCTGCTAGACCTTGGCCTATCCTTAGCATAGTGACAGAGTAAGCAGATGACAGACCACTCAGCGTCTGCTCATAAGCTCTGTGAAGTAGCTTCCTAGAGCCTCACACCATGCTATCAATCTGCATATCTCCAGGACACAGCAGGAACTGGAGCATAGAAGACACTCAAGAAAACATTTGTGGAATGAATGAATGAGAGAGAACTTCAAAAAGAGCCAACAAAAAGACAAGGTAACAATGTGTACAACCAAAAATTACTTGAAAACATTTTGTAAATGTGCTACAAATGACATAATTGTGGTCCAAGCAAATAAGAGTAAATGGACAATGACATCTGAGAGATAATGAAGGGCCAAGATAATCTACCTACCAGCCTTTACTAACTTTACATTCCTTCAGGGAGTCATTGAAATGACAGCTGGTAGAGACTATATGGGATTGTACCAAGTACTCAAACATCAGTGCCCTATTTCAATTCTGAACACAATAGATAGCAGATGCTATGTAGTCATCCCTCCTTGGAGCACATGAAATTCCACTGAGATTCAAAGGAAGAAGGTGAGGCCAGTGATTAATGGCAGTGGAGGGACAGTCTTGGTCTTGGGAACTGTGCCCTGGTCAGGGGAACAAATAGAGAGCAATTCTGGAGGTCAACACTGCCCAAATCACTATCTTGTCATTTGGGGGAGGGGAGGGTAAGGAATTCTTTCTTTCCATTAAATAGCTAAGCAATCTAATATTTCCAAACCTTCTGCACAGAAGATTCAACAATCATAAAAACTGACTAAGGAACAATCTCATAGTTCAGTCGTATTTTACAGACATTCGTTCTAGGCATCTGCTATTAAACGTAGAGGAAATACTCCCTAATTCAGTGAGATTCTCAGCAGTAACTGCACAGCACACCTGAAGGCTTAAAAATTGTCTTCCTCCTCTCTACTTCCCCCTTTTAAAAAAATTTTCTACTAGTTTATTTCGTTTTCTCCTCTCTAATAGGAACATATTTGAAAACTTTTACGGTTTTGTGTCATCTGCTGCTTCTATGTCCTCATTCTGTTTGAAAAGCCCTGTCCTCTAGACCACTTAGAAGTAATTGAGCTACTGCTTTAATTATATTTTCTCTTACTTTCCAAATAAAATTTAGAGTTGAAAAGATTAAACATGGAGGGTTTTGGACAACTTTTTTCTTCCTAAAGACCAGATTTTGTGACTTACTCTGGTGACCTAGTTGTAAGGAGTTATGCTGCAATCCGAAAGATAGGCAGTTCAAATCCATGGGCTGCTCCAAGGGAGAAAGATGGGCAATCTCCTCCCAGTCAATTGAAACTGCCTCTGAAAATCCACTGGAGGGGCAGCTATGGGTAGGTTCCGACTTGATGGTACACAACCCACACCACCACCACCACTCTCTGGTGAGGGAATTCTGGTGGCCTAGTGGTAAAACGCTGTGTTACAATCTCAAAGGTATATGGTTTGCATCAAACACAACACCACCACTCCCTGGTGAGGGAACGCTGGTGGCCTCGTGGTAAAACGCTATGTTGCAATCTCAAAGGTACATGGTTTGTGTCTACCAGTGCTTCAGAGGAGAAGGATGAGCAATTTCCTGCTGTGTGATTCACAGCCTCTGAAAATTCACTGGAGAGTCTGCTATGGATTGGTTCCAACTGAGAGGCACACAACAACTCATCTCCAGTGGCCTAGTGGGAAGAAATTGTACTGTCAGCCCAAAGGCAGGGAGATTGAACCCACCAGCTGCTCCGAAGGAGGAAGACAGGCAATCTCCTTGTGTGGGATTTACATCCTCTGCAAACCTATTAAAGGGTCAGCGAAGAGTCAGTTTTGACACAATTAGAATGACCGACTCATAGTCTTTGCCCACCTGGATACCTTAGAGTTGCCGGTGGATTCCAACCACCTGAAAGGTGCAGGCTTTCGATTAACAGCCCAATTCCTTGAGGACTTTGGCTACACTAACAGCCTTAGGAACCCAATGTGGCGGCAACTATCAGTTCATTGAGCTTTACTCATAATCTGAGGCGCTCTGGTGGCATAGAGCGTTACATATTAGGCTACTGATGGAAAGGTGGGTAGCTTGAATCTCCACAGGAGAAAGACAATCAGTCTCCTTCCATAGAGATTTAGTCTTGACAACCCAATGACAGGTCGCTATGAGTGAGACTTGACTCCACAGCTGTGTGTTTGGTTTCTGGGGTTTTATTCATAGATGTCAAAAGTCTAAGCATTGGTGGTGCAGCACCTAAATCCTCAGCTGTTACCAAAACATTTGTGGTTCAAATTCAGTAGCTGATCTTCATGTGGTAATCTGCCTTCTTAAAGATTTCTAACCTTAGGAGAGCTCTGGCAGCCTAGTGGCAAGAAGCTGCACTGCAATCCCAGAGGTACACGGTTTGAATCCACCAGATGCTCTGCTGGAGAAGGAGGAGCAATCTCCTGCTTTACCAGTCAGATCAGATTTGACGGTACACACACAAAATAATAAAATTTTTTTTTTAAAAAAAGATTTCTAGCCTTGAAAGACCTGCGAGGGGGGTGGGGAGAAGGGGCAGTTCTGTTCATCATGTAAGATCCTACACGTTGGAGGAAGTGCAATCAGGGTCGTCAGAGGTGAGGGTAGTGAAACTTGGTGTCACGTACTTGGGGGCATGATGTCAGGGTGTGGTCAGTCCTTGGGAAAAGACATCAAGCTGGGAAAGCTGGAGGGTCAGAGAAAGAGACAGAGGCCCTCAGCAAGATGGACTGACACAATGATCATACCAGCGGGCTCAAACGAGTCGAAGACGTCAGAGTGGGGCAGGAAGGGGCGAGATCAATGGTTCACAGGACTGCTCTGTGCGTTGTGGTCCACTGGGCAGTACGTACCAATAACAAGAACAGTTAGAATAGGCTTGACAATAGTGGACTTGGGTTTTGGCTAACTCTTAAGTCTTAAAATTTGGGACACACCAGGATGGTATTGAATCACTTCTCTTTTAAAAATGCCTCCGAAAATTTCCAGCAGCTTCCCACACAACAGTCTAGTTATCAATAACAAATTATGCCAAAACACTTACTCTAAAGTAAAATTCTTCATTCCATTTGGGGTTCAGCGTCTGGAAGAGAAAATGCCTTGTGATTACCTTTTACAGCTTTATAACATTTTCAGTACAAGCTAGGAGTCTACATGTTTGCTTAAACATTTTCTTGGTAAAATAAATAGCTAGGATATTTCCAAAATGGTCATCAAAGAAACATTTAGACAGTTATTTGACACTGTCCTACGAATAAACTGTATGGGGAAGGGCTATATTTATGAAACAGATGATTCATAAACAGAAATAAAACCATAAATTGTGTGTATCATCAGCAGGGAAAACATTACGGACCTGCAAGGGAGCTTTCACCATGCAAAGAGGGAAAACAAATCTCCTCCCAGAAATTAACAGTGATACAGCTATTCTATCAAGAAAGAAATCAACTTTGTCCACATGCCCCTACTTGTTACAAATCTGGTCTGGATACCAGTGAAGTAGGTAAGTAAAGGAGGACAGTGATCATCACTTAGATAAATGCTGACATCTGAAGAACATTTCAGGAACAATTTTAATGGTCAGATTTTTCCAACTAGGGAAAAAAATGCCCGTAATAAACCAAAATAATTTCCCTCCCCTTTTTCTGAAATAACTTGATTAAAAAATGCTTATCTACTTAGCCTTCAATCCCTTCTCTATGCATTCATCACCCGATGTCTGTTTAAATATTTATCTCCCTCAAAACACAGAAATGGGACTTTTGTCCTTAGCATGGACAAAAGATGGACTGTCATCGGTCTTCAAAATTAAGAGGAACCATCCCCCATAAAGAACCTATACAGCTCTCTGTGCATTTATGCATGTATAGTACTTTCAAATAAGCACATCTCTTAAAGAAGATATGTTAAATCAGACACGGAAAACATCCTATCTCACCAATAGCTACAGATCTTTTCTGCGGAGGGTGGTAGAACATTTATCTTTATCAACCTATTTCCTTTAACGTGACAGTTCAGAAGATACACATGCACCATTAACACAAAGCATAAAAAAACACACACCTCAAAAAACCAACCAAAATGCAGGACACACACGATCCTAAATTGGCATGAAAAATCTGAACGTTCTCCACCCACACCCCTATGCTGGATCCGCATCCTAAATAACGGGGCTCCACACTCACAGGAACGATGGAGGAGAGGATGGGGGGACAGGGTGGGCGGGAAGGGAGAGGAGCCGGGACACAGGGAGAGGCTGGGGCAGGCCTGGCTGGTCCCTTTCCTGCACAGGGCTGGGGACCTGATTCAGACAAACGCAGAAGGACAAAGCTAAGTGACAAGCGAGAGAAAGCAGCAATGGCACCAGACCACATAACAAATGAAGGACCCGCCACACCGTCACACCGTCACAAGGGGATGAGGATGAAAGGCTTTGGCAACAAGCACAGCACACAGATACTAACCAGGGGGCTGGCAGGCGGTGGCTGGCAGAGCAGCCCCGGCTCCGGAGGCACACGCTGCCTGTGGACAGGGAAGGAGGAGGGGGAGGTCCTCCCTTTGGAGGATAATACACTGACTGCTAGCTCCCAAATCACCGGCTGGGGTTTTCTGTTCCGGTTCAGCAGGCAACCAAGACCCCCGGGCTCGTCTTCCCCGCCAGGCTGGCCGCCGCCCTCACTGCTCTCGCTGAGCAGTGACAGTGCTTTAGCCCGAACAATGGGTCCGTCCTTCACAGGAATCCTCCCCGCTAATCAAAACACCGCTCCTGCTTGCAAAACAGCTCTCCGATGCCAGTCCAGTGCCAGGTGGGGACACACTGCACTCTGCTCCTCGCAGGACGGACCTGCTCAGAGATCCCAGATGTCTGACCGGCAGCAGCAGTTAGCATGTTTTTAAAGCAGCCATGCTCCCCAGGAAATGTTTACCAGACAGAAGTCTAACGACCTGACAAAACCCTCCTCCCAAATCTGGTGGTGCTGGTAGGAAGGCAATAAATTCTACAAAGGGATGCATTTAAAAAAATTTTTTAAAAACATGCATCTTCTATAGCGACTTCAAATATGGTAAACATTTACATATACCCACATACATGATCAATACATACAAGCAAGGTGCTAGATGATTAATATACAGTGAGACTAATCTTTAATGCCGTCAAGTACACAAAACCTAGAAATATAACAGGATGTAAATATACAGCTTTTGTATTAATATAGTTTGTTTTCTTTGCAAGCATTTTGCATCCTTTGATAATACTTGTTCTCAAGTTGAGGCATTCTTTTGGTGCCAACTAATTCCACCACCTCCTCCTCTTCATTAAAGATTATGTAAATATTTAAAATTTCTTGTTGAGAAATAACAGGCTGGCATAAAGAAAGTCTTACTGTTTTATTGACTACAGAAAAGAAACAAACACTGCTACTTGTAATAGGCTTATTTTTATAATTGTGTCTCTAAATTTTAAAGAACATCATTCTTATAATCATTTATCTAAAACCCAGATTAACACACCTTGGGTTAATATCGCACAAGGCTGGTTAATGGAGAATTTACAGATTTAATACCAAAAGACGGCTTACAATGAAAATATGGGCACTATTATGCTTGTAATAAAAACTTCCACAAAGTCAAAATACATTCTAATTAAGTTGGATTAAATTACGTTCTTAACCCATATAAGGAAAGACACCTACCTTTTTAATTGTTTTTGTCTGTACCAACGCAAGTTCTCTATTTTCATCTGCTACGTACAATGACAGCTTCACATACGGATCACTGAAAGGGAAAATCCCAGATTTAATAGGATCATACCTTTTATTTTAAAAACATTAGATGACAGTGCAAATACTAGTGCATGCAAATACTAGTGTATTCCAAAGTCCAGTCCACTGTCATTGAGTTGACTGTGACTTAAATCAGCTGCACAGGACGGAGCAGAACTGCTGTCTGGAGGTGCCACGGCTGTAAAATCTTTCTAACGATAGATCGCCTCACCTTTCTCCCTTGGAGCTGCAAGGAGGTTTGAACCACTGACTTTTTGGTGAGCAGCCCAATGCTCAGCTTGTAGTGCCATCAGTTCCACGTCATATAAATGACACTGAGTAACAGCATTTTTAGCGTGACAACTAAATAATATTCTCTGAAGCCAAAGCTTTTATCAGAGTGAATGATGTTTATTTAAAAAACCCAAAATTATGAATTCTGCATTATAATTTAACTAAACTGCTTAAAAATAATCCTTACAATTAATTGAATAGAGATTTATCATAGTTTCTTTTCATTCTAAACACAGACTCTGAGAAGATTGAAAGATTATTAAAAGGCACATAAAGCTTGTTCAAAATGGCGAACTAGAGCTGGCAAATATAGCTCAAGTCCAATTTTGTGTTTTGATTCTTACTGAGAAGTCTATTTTTTTTTAAAGTAGAAGTAAAACACTGATTGATCATCTAAACCAACATCTGCCATTTTAGAGATAAAATGCCCCAAAACAAAAATGAAAGCCCAAAGGGGAATAAAGATCTGCCCAAGGCACTAGGATTGTGTAAAATCTCAACTCAATTTCTGATTTCCTGACTACACGTCCCAGAATTCCTTGCACGTACTGCAATTTTTTCAATAACGATTTCTTTGCAAAATGGCACTCTTTCAACAAAGATGGGTATTGAGAGGAGTTACTTAGTGTGAGCCATGTGATAAGACTCAGACTCCACTCACACCTTCCAGCCTCAGGGGAACGAAAACTAAGTTATCGTACTGCTTCTCAGAATTAAGGTTCGTATTTCTATTTCGCATGTGAGGTCTTCAAAATCACAGAAAGGGATCCTGTGTGTTCACTCCTCAGGAAAGAATCTAATTATCCACAGTTTGATGATTTATTACTATCACTCCAACATTTAATTGTATGCCAATTTGAGATTTAGCCTTTATGTTAATGACTTTTTACTTTGGTAAAGTCAAAGATGATTTCAAAGAGCAGAGGGCTTTGATGCCTTAGCCAATAACATTATCATGAAATTCTATAAAGAGAGAAAGACAGGCTAAAATTAAGTTTGGTAGTAACAAGAATATACTCAACATCTCCAAACCAGATATTGAAGATGAATGAGAAGCACTGCTTATACATTATGTATGTTTTTGCTAAATCATCACATCTATTCTAACCACAGAGATCCTATGTACCAGGGAATGAAATATTGTCTGGTCCTCATAAAGCACTGATATGCTTGAGTCCAATGTTTCAGCCACTGAGTCAATCCAACTCATTGAGGGTCTTCCTTTTTCTCCACTGACCCTCTCCTTTTCCAAGCATTGTATCCTTCTCCGGAGACTGGACCCTAAGTAGGTGAGGTGAAGTCCAGCAACCCTGCTTCTAAGAAGCATCCTGGCCATACCTCTCCCAAGGATTTTCATTGGCCATTTGGGGGATAGAACACCAGGTCCACCTTTCTTAGTGTGGGAGCGCCACAAGAAGATGTCCATGATGTCCATCATGGGTGACCCTGCTGGTATTCGGAGTACTGACGGCATAGCATCCAGCATCACAGCAACATGGAAGCCACCACAGGGGAGTGGTGGAGACACACATGCAGATAGATACATGCATGGTGTACGTGTGTGTTTAATATCTATGAATTAATGTCTTAGTAAGACACTAAACATCTTCCAACACACACACACTCAACAGCATAATTTGCTCAGTTATACATTGTTGATAAATAGTTCTATTTGCACTCTGTTGTAGAAGAAGTCAACCCCTTGCCTATTATCCATAAATGATAAGCCGTCACTGCAGTTAAGCAGATATAGCAGGTCTCACCTAGATGTTCTGGGCCGCACAACAGAGACGGCCCTAGAGCCGACCCCCAACTAGCCTGAAAGACCTTGACCATCTTTCTATTGAGGGCATGTGGTCTGGGGACTGGATCAAGAGTCAGCTGTTCTCAGACTTTTGCAGTTAGAATCACTCACCCCAGAGCCTAAAGCCATAGGCCTGGGTTGGGGTCCCAGAAGCTGCTTATCTAACACAGGTGTAAGTAAGGTTGGTGTTTCTGGAGTTGCCCTGAGAATTGCTGTTCTTGATATATTTGAGAAGAATAAGTTTTAGCTAGTAAAATCAAGTTAATGTTCTATTCCTGCCACCAAGTTATTGCTAAAAAAAAGCTCAAAGCCTGGTATCTCCAAGGCACTGTGGTGGACACACACACAGAGTATGGACCACCACGTACTCACCACAAACCATCTCTGGTGTTTATGTCCCTCAGTTATCAAGACTGCTCCCTGTCACATAACCACAACAAGAGAGCTAAGAATTCCCTTGAATTGAACCTCCCCATTCTCCTACCGCTTATTTATTTAGCCTGAGCAGTTAACAATACTAAAGGGATACTAGGGGGTGAGGGAGGAGCTCCCAAACCGGGACACACTGTCTTCCAGCTGAAATGAGGAAGCATGGCTGTGTGCACCTGGGCAGGCACCAGGGTGTTTATAAAAGACAAGGTTCAAGACACTTCCTGGAAGAGCACTCTGGCTCAAGACGGAAGAGGCCAAGGTGCAGAGGGCTGGTCCACCAACAGGAGGGAGCTGCGCCAGAGGGGATCAGTTAGAGGGACCGACTAGGGGGCGCCAGACACAAGGCACCCAGAATGGTGCTGGACGCCTCCCTCTCTGCTAGTATGGTTTCACTGTTGTCAGGTCAGAACTGATGCATGGCTGACCCTCTAGCAAGTTTTCAGAGGCTGTCAACCACACAGGAGGAGTTTGCCCACCTTTTTCCCACATGACAACCAGAGGATTCAAACCGCCTGCCTCTGGGTTGGCAGCACAATTCCTTGCCCACTAGGCAACCAGGGTTCGCTGCTAATATAACAGTGCCATTCACATCAAGCATATCCTGGACACCAGCGATATAGCAGGGATGCTGTGTGAAGCAGACATTCATGCCAGGAGGCCAGAGGGAAGAATGGGGCAGAGGGGAGAGAGGGGACACATTTACATATCTCAGCAAAAATCATAAATGGACATTTATGAATGGCACTCCTTAGTGGGCCAAGTGGGGATGGAAGCATTCCCCCCCCCCCCCCAAGCTAGTGAATGATGAAGGAAATGACCAAGACAAGAGGTGAGGCAGCAAGAACCAATCAGGAAAATGGCAGGAAGATGCTACAGCAGCCTGAACCATGAGCCAGGCCAGAATACTAATCCCAATCCCACCTCCACTAACACAGCCTGTCCCAGGAGCCGGGACAGCACATCAATTCCACCTCCACCTCCACCATCACTAGTACCACCTGTACCACGGGAGCCAGGCCAGAACATAAGTCATACCTCCACCTCCACCTCCACCAATACCAGTGACCAATATCATCTCTACCACTAATATCCCTCACACCCACACCACCACAATGATCCAGTTCAGAATACAAATACCACCACCACTTCAACCATCCAGTACCATCTCCACGTCCACCACCACTACCAATACAACCTCTACTACAGGGAGTCAGGCCAGAACAGCAATACTAAGCCCACCCCCACCTCTAATACATTCTCACCACTGACACCAACCCCACCTGTAATACCACCTCTATCCATAACACCACCCTTACCCTTTAACACTACCCTTACCCCCACACCTACTCTATGCCTGCCACCAGCCCTATCCCCACTCCTAACCCCACCCCCACCCCCACCCCATAAGCCAGGCCAGCATATCAGGACCACCTGAAAGACCAGCACCAGAATCACCACCCCAGGCAACCAACCGTGCCATCCATCCCTCGCTGTGCACTAGACACCCACAGGCGGTTATCACATCTGATGCTCACCCCAGCCTCAAGCAGAGGACACATTTCAGATAGCCTGCGGCTAACGGCAGATGGAGGGGGTGGGGACAGAAGGCGGATTCTCCCTTCAGGGGGAGGCATGGGCTTGATTTCTGGTCAGTACACCACATGCTCTGATACAGGCCATGGTCTTTGCAATCACTTGTTATGCATCAGAGAGCTGGACAGAAGGAGAATTGACGCCTTTGAGCTGTGGTGCTGGAGAAGAGTATTGAATGTACCCTGGACTGCCAAGAAAACAGATTCATCCTAGAGAGGGTTAAACCAGGCTACTCCTTGGAGGCAAGGATTCTGGGGCTTCGCCTGACATACTTTGGACATGTTGCAAGGAGAGACAGACAGGTCTTTGGAGAGGGACATCATGCTGGGTAGAGTAGAGGGACAGCGCAGGAGGGGAAGACCCTCTATGAGGTGGATTGATTCAGTGACTGGGGTAATCGGGATGGGTGTGTCAGAGGCAGTGCGATTGGCACAGGATAGAGCAGGGTTTAGGGCTGTTGTACATAGGGTCGTTATGAGTCGCAAAGACTCGATGGCACATAACACTACCACCACCATGTGCAGCTGGAGCTGGCCCTCATCTCTTAGTGTGTGAGCTGTTACCACGTGGAATCTGTTTCAGTGGGGCTTCCAGGCTAAGGAGGACTACAGGACAAGGCCAGGTGACCTCCTTCAGAAATTCAGCCACGGAAACCTGTATGGGTCACACCTGTCCAATCCGCAGCCATTCCTGGAGCAGGGCAGGACTGGGCAGCGCTCTGTCTCCTGTGCATGGTCTTTCGGAGGCACAAGATGCCTCCCTGGCAGTCACCCGAACAAGAGATGGGACCCAGCGCGCTTGTTCAAGAATCCGACTCTGACAGAGCAAGATGGGCGGGATTTCCAAGGGTCCTAGAGTTCTTCCAACTCGGAACAAAATATGTCATTACT